TAAGATGGGACCTCAGCATAAAACTCACCAGTTAGAATCACACATATCTACAGATCGATACCTGTTGAAGTCACCTGCACATAAAGACCTCGAAAAACAAACCTGAATAAACAGATGATCCAGTGACGCTCTTCCAGGCTGCCCGCCTGGTACCAGCCACGCAAGCGCCCACAGCAAGGTGCATTTTAAAGACTATTTGCTTTTCAGTCAACCAAAGACAACATCCCTGCTTCTGAAGTAGGTACGTAAAGCTTTAAGACATAAATATCTTCCTTTGCTAAGATGAGGGATGGCTGCCCTTGTAACAAGCAAAGATTCAGAAGGATGGCACAACCATTTTCAACCCCTTCAATGAGTACTTTTGTAATGATAATTGCTATTACTGCATCTTGGTGACAGCGAGATACAATGACCAACTATAAAAAGATACGATAAACCTAATTTTTAAAGCAAAGACATTAGTCACTGTCACAGGAAAACCTTATAATCTACAAAAGCTGAATGTCACTGCTGCTGCTCCATTCAGCCAGCTATACTGTTACCGAGGTCACTTGCAAATAACAACAGGTAGCTTTCACTCTAGTCATGTAAGTTGTTTTCTTTTCTAGGATGCACAGAGCAGCAGTCATTCACATGTTTTAGCCCCATAAAGCAATTTAGAAGGCTGTGCTGAGCCTAGATCAGAGCGCTGCTAACAAATACCATTCTTTTCTTTAAACATGTTTTGGATCACTCCTTAAGACAATGTTATTCTCACTGATATTGGTGTTTAGCTTTATTTCCTTTCCTTTTGTAAGCATTATTTTTGCATATTAAACTAACAGTTTAGAGAGGGGTTATAATGCCCTATTGTTCACGCAGGCCACTTATCACTAATAGATGTCACTTCAACACCACTCAGTTTTATAGGAACTACAGGCTTGAAAACAAATCCCAGGTAAGACTTTTTAGAGATACCTAAACTCCACACAAACCACTTCATTGTACAGAGTTCATTCAAGATGGCTATGGCAGCTACTCTTGTGAAACAAAAGATGTCTGCCAAAATAACTACACCATAATACTAATTACAACTCAGGTGCTCCTACACAACTTCAGCTTCCAGTTCTACCAGAGATCTCCAAAAACCACCAAGGCCCACTCCTCCTCATTGCCTGGGACAAGACACGTTGCACAGAGCAGCACATGACTAGGACAGGCAGCTATGGGTTTGCTGTTACAGAGCTGAAGGACATGCTGACAGTGAACAAGAGATGACTCCTCATCCCAATCAGCCACCACAGACAAAACTACAAGAGCTAATCTCCCAAAATACTCCCTGCCTCCATGAAACTTCTGCTCCTACCACCACCACCCCTCCCCAGCGCTGCTCTCCCACCAAAACCTCTTGCAATAGTTAGTTATGGCTCACTAGCAGCCGGGGGCGGGGGGGGGCTCTCTCGAGAAGCAGGCACGATGTTACACTCAGTACTCACCATCACCTGTACCCATCCATGGGACACAGCCCAGCACCACACACACATGTGTATCAGCACACACATACACCTGCTCCATGAAGCACCCCCTGACTCACACGTGTGCCCCCACACATGTGTTCACCTATTCAGTCCCCATCCTGGCATACACATGCATAATCCCTGCAGCAGCAAGACCTGCAAGTACACACACGTGACTTATGTGCAGCAATGCAGCGTACCCCATCTCTGGCCATGCATGCATGCACACAAACACCGTCCCATTTGCAACAACATGTGCCCCTGCCCTGCATGCAGCAGTGTGCCCCCCAGCACATACATACACACACCCCCTTAGCCCCATCCGCACACCCCACCATGAGGCAGAAGGGAAGATAAAGCGGAAGCAGCAAGTTGCTGCCCTCACTCAGGGTCAGCATCTCCCCTGCTTGGGTCCCCTCTATGGCACACAGGGCCTTAATGCACCATGGCAAAGCAACGGTCAAAAATAAAGACACACACACCTCACAAAAATGAAAGTCTGTGTTATCAAACCATCCAAACGCCATGCACGGGATGGGGGCACAAAGAGAACATCCTGAGAAGCAGACAGCCCCCCAAATCAATCCACATTATGCCACTCAGCTTCTGCTTAGAATTATGCTGTATTGGGGGTTGGGGGGGGGGGAGGGGGGGGGAGTAGAAGCCAACTAAATACACGGTTGCCAAGTCGAGTTAATGAAAAACCCTTTGGCTGTTAACTCATTTAGTGCAGCAAGCATGAAATAAAGTCCATGGCACCCGGCCAAAGCACAGCAGCCCTTTGCCGGGCAGGCTTCTGGGACCTCTCCCCGGCCCGACCGCCGAGGAGCCAGCTCAGAGCTGCCCAGTTCTGAAAAGCTGCTCTGATCTTCCTCTAAAAAGTGACTAAATCTGCCTCAAAAACAACCCCAACAACATCGATGGCACCGCCAAGCCCGAGAAGATGTTTTGTAAGGGCACTTTCGCATCCACTTCCAAAAGAAGCCCAACCCCATCACCGAGAGGGAAGCTCCGAGGAGATGTAAAGGATGAGGCCGGGCGCAGAATGGGGGAAGGCAGCTGCCCGGCCCGGCCCAGCGGCTGCCCGGCCCACATCGCCGCGCCCCGACACCCCGGGGCCGGGCCGGGCCGGGCCGGGCGGTGGCGGGGGGGCGGGCCCGCGGACTGGGGCCGCCCCGGCGGGGCGGGGACCGACGGCGGGCGGGGGCTCAGCTCCGCGGCCCGTCCGACCCTCCGTCCGCCCCCCCACGCCCCCCATCCACAGCACCCCCCGCGGCCCTGCCCGCCGAGGAAACTTCTCCGGTCGCAAGGAAGAGTTCGGCTCCCAGGGCGGGGGGACGAGGGGGGCGACCGGCGGCGATGGGGCGGGGGGAGAGTGGGAGGAGGAGGAGTTGCAGCTCTCCCCAAAAAGGGACTTTGACCCCTCGCAGCGCTCGCCGGCAGACCCCGAATACCATTATTTTTGCCACAGGACGGACCCTCGCCGCCGCACGTCTCCACAGCGTCTTAATTTATGAACTCATCAGCCTAATTTCATTATTTAATCATGCGCCCGGCAATCGTGTTTCCTTAAGAAAGGACTGACCTATTTTTGGCTGGAGATAAACGATCATGTTAACAGATGTTAATCTTGTAATCTGTTTTTCCTGTAAGCACTTCGCATACCCGCGTTTCAAACGTTAAAAATAATAATAATAAAAATAATTAAACAACAACAAAAAAAAAATCTTTCCCAAACGACCTGACGTCACGATTCGGCTCGCATTAAAATAAATAAATAAATAAATCTCGCAATGGTTTCAAAGACATTAAATCTTTTTCACTTTATAAATGCTGATTTGTTCTGCCTCAACTCCCACAGGCTTTTATTTGCATTTCAAATTCCACAGGTTACACCAGTCGTCTTTTCAGAAAATGTAAACCAACAATAAGGCAGCAAATGGGGGGGGGGGAAAGGGGGGGGATGAGGGGGGAAACCCTGCATCTGGATTAAATAAAGGCCAGGATTAATGTTTGGAAAGTAGTCCGAGCAAAATTATATTTGCGCGTCCAGTGCCCGAGCGCCTCCGTATCTGCGGGGGGAATGTGAAGGCTCAGCCGTGGGCACACACAATGCGCATTCCCCACACGATCCCCGCCTGCTGCTGGGAGCTTATTAACGCTCCTAATAAATGGTGCCCGGCTCCAAACCCACACTTTTCGGTTTAAAAAAGGAAAAAAAAAAAGCCCAAACCCAAGGGGTTTGTCTCCAGCGATTAATGGCAAAGGTTAGGTGCTTGGGGGGGAAGCAAGGGCCGGCTGTCATGCCCTCCCCACCATACACATACAACACACACATACACGCTCGGCCGGTCCACACACCCCAGCTCCCTCCCTCCCTCCCTCTCGGCGAAGTTCACCCATCCAAACTTTCCCCAACTTGCCCGAGTGCTCCGCTCGCATCAGGATCGCGACTGGGCGCTATGCTAATGATCACCGGGGATAGCAGCGGGGGGAGGGAGGGAGGGACGAGGAGGAGGAAAGCTTTTATAGCACAAAATGTCTGGAACTGCATTATTTCTATTCTTCTTTCCTCCTCCCCCCTCCTCTCTTTTTTTTAACATACACATCAAGGCCCCCCCACCCCACCCGCACCCAACGGGCTATTTTTCCTCTTCTGGCAATAACCGCTCCGGAGACATTGTCCTTCTCGTTGTCTGTATGTGAATAATTGTTTTCCCCGTCCGCCCGCCCCCAACTTCCCTCGATGAACTGTGTACTTCTGCGAGGGGGACCCACTCGTGGAGAGCGGATAAAAAACAAGGGGGGACGCGGGGTTGGGGGGGACCCACGCACCGCCACACATCGGGCATCGCACAAAGAATACTATGGGGCGGGGGGAGAGGGGGGGTTAAATAACTAAAAAAAAATATCAACCCCACTTAATAATTAAACTGGCCATTCGGGGCTCCAAGACCCATCACCCACCTCCGTTCCCCGAAGCGTTTTACTTTAAAGTGAGGCAATTTGTTCTTTGTTTCTTAATGCATTAATATCGCAGTCCCCGCGTTGTCCCCCCACCCACAGCCCCTGATGGACCGTACAAAGCCAAAAGGCTTCCAGAGCCCACAAACACCCCACCCCCGCTACTAACCCCCCCCGGCACCACCACTGCAGTAAAACCATCATCCTCCTCCTCCTCCAAGGGAAACAGCGCAAAGTTACCATTTTGGAGCCGCTCCGGTGGCCGGGCGGACAGCCGCCTCTCCTGGGAGGGGGATTAAGGGGCGGGGGGGGGGGGGCGCGAAGTTTCCCTTCTCCCCCCATACATACACACACACACACACACACACACACCGAGCCCCCGCTGCCTCCCGCGCCGCCCCTCACCTCCTCGCCTGGCCGGCGGCCACTGCCGGGGAAGGGCGCGCCGAGCCGCCTGCCGCCGCCCTGAAGGTGAAACCACGCGCCGCATGCGAGCGGCCGCGCGCTCCACATGATCCGCCGAGCGGCTCCACTGGCGCGGAGCGGGGGGGGGGCGGCCCGACGGACCCCGCCGCGCCCCGCGCACCGCCCCCCGCACGCCGCGCCCCGCCGCGCCACGCCCGCTCCGCCACCGCGCGGCTCCCCCCCCGCCCGGCCGCAATGGTGAGGCCGGTGCGGAGCACAGCCCTGCCGGTACTATTGTCTCCGCGGAGCAAAGTTGGGGCGCGAGGTGCTGCCGGGCCGGGGATATGTTGCCGGGCGGGAGCGGGCACGGAGCCGCGCTTTTGCCCACCGCCGGCCCGGTTCCCACGTACCTCCGGTGCGAAAGGTGCGGGCTGGAGTTGCCCCCGATGCGTTTCTGTGCGAAACTTTTCCTTTTTTTTTTTTTTTTTTTTTTTGGGAGGGGGGGGAGAATTCCACTGGTAAAATATTTATGGATCTGTTGAAATGCGCAGAAACAACACAACATTAAAGTCCTCAATCAAGATCAAAGCGCAATACTGTTCAACAGCCACGCTGGGGAAGTTGAAAGACCTCCGAACAAATCAATCTGCCATATGGCTTTAAAAAAAAAAGAAGGAAAAGAAAAAAACCCCGAGCACACACACACACACACCCCCCCCCGCCTGCCATGTCTGCAAAGTTCGATTCGTGTGTTCCCAAAGCCCGGTGTAGCCGCGGCCAGCCCGTGTGCCGCTAGCGTGTTCCCCCCGTGCCTGGAAAGCCCAATTTAACGTGCCGAAGCCCGGCACTAGACAGCGAGGGTGTGGAGGAGGCGCTTTTTTTTTTTTTCCTTCTCTTTCTTTGTCTCGTAATGTGTGATGACGTAGAATTGACACGGAGGACTTTTGACGGAGGGTCCGGGTTATCACCCACCCTTGGGCCGCCGCCCCGGGCCGGGCCGGGCCGGGCAGGGCAGGGTGGGATCCCGGACCCCCTTCTCCTTTTCCCTCCCCGGGCACCCCGGGTCCCAGCCTCCCGCCCGGGGCTGCTCCCCTCCAGCCCCGCCTTACACTTGGGACGCAAACTGCTCCGACAAGGGAGACGGAAACAAAATTGGGGCGAGAAGGAGGCGGGGGGAGAGGGGTTTAAACCCTGCCCTTCCCAGTGCTCGTTAGCAGAACCCCGGGAATAAAGGAAAGAAAGGAGGGGGATGGGGGGCAGCGAGTGAAGGGGGAAAGTTGGTAATGAAGGATACACGAATCATAAAATGTAAGCTATGCGTGATTAATGATCTGCACTAATTTGAATAGCAGGCGTGTTAAAGGTCAGTGACAATTGTTGCTGCTTTCAGCATGAATGCCTGAGTGGGATGTATTTGGGACAATCAAATTTAATTCTAATTCACAGGGAAAAAAAAAAATATCGGACGTGCAGAGCAGCTGGTCAAAACAGAGAGGGGACGCGCTTTAAAAAATGCACTTTGCCTGTCCTTCAAAGGCAGCTCATTACGCCAAGATAGCGCTTTTACACGCCTCAATAGTAAATAATCTATCTGGAATGTCTGGATTTTGTTCCTTCTGCATCAGCATCTTCCCTGCACGCTTTTTCAGTCGCGGGCCACATTGTGTTCCCAGTCCCTTGCAGCGTTTTGTGGGAATTCCGAGTTCCCCGACGACGGACTTAACCTGCGAATGGACCGGAGCAGATGCCGCCTCCCCCGGCTTGAAGAATTCACCCCAGACGCATGCCCTACAGCACAAAAGTGTAGATTATCTAATCACAGCGCGCGTTGTAGTTTAGCATTTCTTCACACAAAGAGTAAGAAATCCCTTATAAATCAGCATTCCTGGGCAGCATTTAGGACTACAGTATTAAGCTAATAATTTCCATATGGCAAAAATTGACAAGTCAGGGCAATGAAAGGTGCAGGAGACTTCCCAAATCCTCTACCTAAAAAATGTGATTTTTACAACCTACTCCTTTTCCCTCATAGTCTGTATAGGTTCTTTTCCTTAGACAGTAAAACATGAGAATACACAACACAGCACTTGCTTTACTATTTGATAGAGTAATGCTTGAAGTGCTTAATATTTTCCATATTTGCTTCTGCAGGGCCCACTCTTGGACTCCTTGTTCCTGTAAAAAAGCATAGGATGCAGTGGCTACAGGGGTGAAAGGACTGGAGAAGCCATTTCAAACCCAGTAAGTGAGGGGTATTCCATTTTAATGGAAAGGCAATTAAAAATTCAGAAGATGCAGAGACTTTAAAAACAATCAAGTGGTATATTAATTTCACGGAAACTCACTAGCAGAGTTCCTCTGTCCATGTAATTTTAAATAGGAGATTTTCTCACATTTCTTCTGCTGAGTCCAGCACTTCTGGGTTTCAAGAGCAAACCCAGAACAGGGTAAGGATTTATAGACTTATATGGAGATGCAAAATATATTTGCATAGCATTGCTGGTGTCGTTAGAAATTTCAGGTAGAGAAGATACTCCTAATTTTCAAGTCATCAGTAACGTACCATTACCATGGGTGATTAATCTGTTTGCAGACACTGTTTACCCATTTTGTCTTTGCCAGAAATCTTCCAGGCGATGTCCTCCCGTTTCAAATTCTTTAAATTACGGTATTTCGTATGAGAATGTCAGCGATATTAATGGCTCAATACGCGGTTTGCTATTTATAGACTCACATGTATAATAATTCTGGCTAACGAAATACTTGGAGCAGGAAAACATTTATTTACTTTTGCTACGATCTAATAAATTATTTGTTCAGCATTTGGGACCAGGCTTTCTCAAGTTAAGGAAAATGGCATTTTGATGAAAATCTCTGCGATGACTTGTCTGCATAACTTAGCCTTAGGAATGATTGGTGGAAGTTCAGATAAGAAAAGGTTCCCGAGAAATCCCAGCGTGGAATAGTGAGGAAAAAAAGCAGTCTCTCTAAAAGCAAAGCTGAAAGTGTGTATAAATACTTCAAGGCAGGCAAACAAGCCAAGTTTGTATCACGTTGTGTATATATGTGTGTGTGTGTGTATACGTGTCACATCCACAGATACATTCAGTGAAATGTAATCTAGAGGAGTCAGTTGCTTTAGCTTTGGCTGTATGCTTGCTCAGAGTTGCTCAGGTTTTGTGCCGGTTAATACTTCTTGTTGTTATGAATCTGAAATTTAGAGAATGTGTCTAAATAGTGCTAAACCAGGATGGTTTGTGGCTCTTGATTTTTTTAAGGAATCTGTCTCTCCATCTCAAGACCCAGACTAGCATTTTCCTTGGCGTCTCCCGTCATATCTGTCTCTCAACGACCTTTTCTAAACACAGACCCTAGCCTTGTAGTTAGTTCTCCAGTTCTGCCAATAAACCAGTATATATCTCTTTTAATCTAAACCAGAGAGTTTGCTTTCAAAGTGTGCTTGGGTCAGAGGAAAAAAAGAGCATGCAAAGCCTGACGACAAATAATCCTCTATGAGTCTCTACATTCAAACCCAGACTCTTTCTTGGTGTACTTGGAAGTACAAAGAGCATGTGCAGAACTTGCAGACTGGAAGGCGCGCAAGGCTCTAATGCCCATGTACGTCTGCAGATCACTGCACAGAAACATTCCCAGGGATGCTTCTTAACAAGAAACTAACATTTCTGACTCTAATTAAAATGGGCCATTCTAACACTGGTGTGCTTTCAGAGTTTATGTGGGTGGCACAAATTTCACTCAGACCAAATGGTTTCAATCAATACCCAGCGTATACTCTTGGCTAAAATAGACCGACTTCTCGCACGCTGCAAATATCTTTGCCTCTTCTTTAATCGTGCCCCAGTAGCTGCGCAGTGTCCAGCTGCTTCCAAAGTTTGCGCTATGAAAACACAGCACCACCCAGCAAAGTTTTGCACACTGGTGTACTCTGGGTCTGCGTGGACTGAGGTCTTGCGCACCATTAATTGAGTCAGGCATAAATCTAGCAAACAGATTTGAAAATACTTTTCCATTCAGAGAGCCGCATGTATTTCTGCGATCTGATGAGTCTATTAACATGTAACCGCAATAAGCAACCTGGGCATATCTGATGACAAATTGCATGGGGTGTCATTTTTAAAGAGGATGTGGTCACATCCTCTTTACCTTCTACTCATACAAGTTGTCCCCTTGCTATTAATGGAATTTCTTTAATGATAAAAGATGATCAGTGTTTGTCTCCATCATCTCATTTACAGCATGTAATGAGCTTTTCCTTATGACAGAAATAATCCGGAGTCCTTTCTTGAAGAATCAACATTTTTAATGTCTTTCATATTTGCCCCTACCATCAACACAGTTGCTAGGATATGGCCTGATTTTGATTTTTGTGCTTTGATCTTCTCAAACCCACTTTTTTTGTTTTAAATCAAATTATTCAACATAGCTTTTACAACGACACTGAGGAAGAGAGCAGAAAAAGTTAATATTGCAAAGTAAGTGCAGCCTTAGTGTACGTGGTTATTTTAGGTTCATGCTAAAGGCTGTATATATTACCAACTTTTCCAGCCCTGGCAGTCAGATTTTCTCACCCATATGTAATTTTATAAACTACATCACGGCTTCACAGCAGGTAGGGAGCCCACAAACCTGTTCTTAATTTCAGTTTAACTGAAAGAATCTCGGCAGCAGCTGGTTTCAGAATAGCTGATACAGACTTCCACAGATGTGGCCCATCATAGGTTCAGAAATAAGAAAGAACTAGGCCACAACCTAGAATTAATTTCAAGAGAGACAAATTCAATAACGATGCCACTTTTGAGACATTATTTTGTTATTTACTTAAGAGACCTTTGTCAGGGCATATTTCTGTGGCCATGTTGTCTACCGACTGTAGTACTGCAGGACGCTGATTTTCTGGCAGGCCCGACCTGGCTGTTAGCAGGCTGCACTCTCTCGAAGCAAAGAAACGGGCTATTTCTGAGTTTGTGTCGCTTCCCCTCCCCCTCGCCCTTCTTATGTTCCTCCAAGCATAACTGATAGTACTGGAGTGCTTGTGCGCTTTTCTAACTGGACCAGACAAAGAGGTACAATAGCTAAAAATGACCTCTGATGATACAGAGAATGCAGAGCTTGATAAAACTGGGGGAACTGGCTGCTAGCTCTAAAACAGCGTGTTATTTGGTAACGTTTCACAAAAGACTTGAAGTAAAGGAGCACAGAAAAAAATAGTTTCACAAGTGTTAATTTCTGGAGTTTAGTAAGGGAAGGCTTTAAATGATTCCTGTGGCAGCATGGCAAGTAGAGCGATGTAGTTCTGCTGTGTAAAATATATCTCAAAAGTAAAAGCAGAACAAAATAGTCACTTGTTCTTGCTAACAAAATTTCCCTTGACATTCTGGGCAGTGGTCTAAGTGTCTGAATAATCTTGGTTTATATGGTCTTTCAGCTCAGGCATGCGAGGCAAAAGGAACTTCAAAAAGAGAAAATTTACCTGATCTGTACTATTTTAAAGCTCCAGTAGTTAGAGAATTCCAAAGGTCAAAATAGCCATCAATATCACGAGCAACAGAGTAGAAGTAACATGTTTAAGAGGAAGTTAGTTTGTTGGCTGTAACATAATACGTCGTAAGCACTAGGACATGGATCTGCAATGGCGAGCAGCAGCAAAAAAGCCAGAAAAACTTGACCAGCATCAGGTATTTATTTTGCTGAAAGCACGCAAGAACTTGCAAACAAGAAATAGAGATGCTTTCAAGCCTAAATCTCAGATTGTTTTAGCTTACCGCAGAGATGCTGCAATCTGTACTGAGGTCCATCCACAGAGAACCGTTCACAGGCTGAAGAAAAAGTTTGCCTATGCCTTCTAACCTTTCACTGGCCCAGACAAAAACTTGGGATTCAGAAGCTCCCAAACCCTTTTTTTCACCTTCTGGTTCTCATTCAAACCAGAAATATGTGGCATTAGCTTCTTTTTAGCAGTTAAATCATTAAATACTAGATCAGGGTGGGCAGCCGATATGTTGCTCTGTATCTGTTACTCCTAAAACTGTGTGTTCCTGCACGCATTTCTGAACTGGCACAGAGTAAAAATGAGTAAAAGTACGATGATTACACATGAAGATGCAGTAGTTTGCAACAGTGTAAGTCATAATAAAGATGTACAATTCTGCGGAAAATTATTTTGAGAATGGGAGCTCTTCCAAAAGCTTCCCACTATTTCTTTCATTGCTGATAGACCATTTTTCTTCCCTGTATAATTTTATGCGAAATTGGCTACTTTTCTAATTTCCCCATTAATCACGCAAAATTCATGACTCCTTTTTCCACATTTGGATCCACAAATCAACCGAGTGAATTCGTTCCATTGAAAGAAAGAGGCTGAAACAAACGCCTGGGATCATTAACATAAAATTAGAGGCATAGAATTATCCTAACTTTTCACAAAAATATAAAAAAATGCAGAAGGCTTCTAGTTTGTTGCTTCCATTGGGTTTAAAAGACAGAAGTGAGTTAGGGAAGTCGTCCTGGTACAGACTCTGGGAGGCATTTGCCTTTTTCCCCTGTTAAACTCCAAAGCTAATAAACCCGGAGCATTCAGTAACAAGCGAGGCACTCATGTCAACAAAGGCCTTACTTAGAGACGGCAAGGTTTTAAGAAACTTCTGTGGCGAGGATTTGAAGATATTTTAGTCATATGCGGTGCACTTTTGCTTCTCTGTTTCATACAGTATAATCCCCTTTGCTCCCTCCCCTCCCTCCCCCTTCCCCACGTTTTAAAACGAGCACAGAAAAGGCCGAGTGTTAAACTACACTATTCAATTGTCCGGTAAGTACACAAATTCTGTTCAAATCAGAACAAACTTTCAAGTAGACAGAAAGGGCTATTTGGATTCCTATTTTATCCCGGAAACCCTGCTGAACACCAGTGTGGCGGGGAATATAGCCATATCAGGCCAACAAAAGGCTCCTAATGTAGGAGAAGACCTCCTCCCCCCGCCTCAGTGAGGAAGCCGGCTGGCATAGCTTTTGCTATCGGAATTGTTTGCAGAATAACCAGACTAAAGCAGCTCCCTGTGTGGGTGCCTTGTTTGGGAATAAGCAGCACTTTTATTCTAAAACACTCATGTTGCTTCCTAAAGAGCTGAGCAGGCTATTTGGGAGATATTTCTTCATTTTGAATGTTCTTGTGGAGCAATCCCTCATCTGGGTTTTTTTCCTTCTATTTACATTTACATTTGCTTCTCTGACAAAAGCAGAGATGTACTCGCTCAGTAAAGCAGTTATTACGTACAGCAGCAACTCTTAGATTCCTTTGGCTGTGCAAAAGATTCCCAAGTACTGTTTTTATTGCAAAAGATCCCATTAATATCGATGGTGCAAGCATGCTGTTCATTCCTAGAGGCTTTATATAATAAAAGGGTTACGCTTAATAAAATCAAATGTGGTAGATCTGCTCTTCACATGACCAGTACAACAGTGTTCTCATAATACAAGCTGTGCCACTAGTCATACTTTTATTGTTATGAAGTATGCTGCCATATAATATCCCCACATATTTTTACCTAAGACACTAGAACATTTCATGCCAAATCCCTCCATCTAGTAAGGAGTCCAGGATCCTATTTCTTTGGTGGGCCTTGGTGTAATAAACATAATACACTGAAAAATAAGTGTGGTAACAACACTGCCAAAAATGCTCACAGAATTATGCTATGTCCAAGCCAATGTGTTGTCTCTTCAGAGAAGGAGGATGAGTATGAGTGTGTACTGGCAACTCTGGTGTGCCTGCATAGTCACTGAAGCTAAAGTTCCTGTTTGTTTGTTTGTTTGTTTGTTTTACAGAATTAAAGAGAGTTTGTTTTACCATTTGGTGCTTAACTCTCTGAAGGCTCTGCTATGTAGAACTGCATACTTACTTCTTAGTGGACAGGAGAGACAGCATAAGGCATAAATGGGAAGAAGGGGTCAAGAGACGGTGAAGGGAAGCCAAAAGGCCTCTGGCAGCACTCTCTTGCTGCGTAAGCCCAAGCACCATTATGATGGTCCCACTATCAGGTCTGTGCAAGGTCAGTGACTGGAAGTTGGTGTAAAACAGCTGAACATGAACCCGAGCTCCCCATACTGCCTTCAGCTGTAAGAACCAGAGACGTGCTGCTGGTGAGATCTCAGAGAGGAGGTGGGGAGCAGCTCTGCTGTGGGACCCAGGATAAAGCTGTCTGGTTTTGCATCCCTGCCCATGCTCAGCATCTGCTCCTGAAGCCTGCTCTGTTCCCACATCTGCCTCTTGCAGGCAGCAGTGTGGCAGAGCATTCACACTACCTCAGCACACTCCCCATTTCATTCACAAGTGCCTCCTCGAGCACTACAAACCATTATCTTTACTTTCAAGAGTTTTCTACCCAGAGTCTGCACCACTCTGCTGTAGGGCAGGCATAGTGGCCATAATCTGGCTGTAAAAAAAGGTGCCGGTGAATGGGTATTTGCATGAATGACCTCATTTTTCACTTGCTCACTAGAACATTTTTAAAAGGAAGTATTTGCTTGGTTAGTAGCCAAGTGTTTTCTTCTCCTTGACAACCAATTGTGTTTGGTCCATATTAAGGGTAAAATTCTCTCCAAAGTTCACTGGTGATTTCCAGACCCTGTAAGATTTGCACACAAGAGATTGACAGCAATATTCTTATTTAATCATTTCCCACCATATTGCAAAAAAATGTGGTTTTGCAGATCCTCCTGACTTCCAAATGCAAAGTGGAAAAGGTCCAAAAAAGGCATTACTTCATCTAATGCCATTTACTTAGCACACATATAATCCTACTGTCATGCTTTATCAAAAGCAAGGGGATGTGTGACTTGTTTGTATAACCTAAAGTTTCTGCTTATCTGGACTCCCATAAGTGCATTCAGCAGCTCCCTCAGATGTACAGTTAATGGGAAATTCTGTGAGTTTTACATTTAAACTTAGAATCATAGAATCATAGAACAGTCTGGGTTGGAAAGGACCTTAAGGTCATCTAGTTCCAATCTCCTTCTATGCGCAGGGACACTTTCCAGTAGACCAGGTTGCTCCAAGCCCCATCCAGCCTGGCCTTTAACACTGCCTTGAACACAGCTTCTCTGGGCAACCTGTGCCAGTGCCTCACCACCCTCACAATAAAGAACGTCTTCCTTACGTCTAACCTGAACTTCCCCTCTTTAAGTTTAAACACATTACCCCTTGTCCTATCGCTACAGTCCCTGACCTAACTTAATCAGAGATACGAATGGAAGAATGTAACCATGAAAGCCATTGTAGAGCCCTCCACTCCCTGAATTTTGGGCTCATAAACCCATGAATAAGTTACATTCATCCACGTATTAACACAGCTTTGTCACTGCTAATGCAAAATGGGCTTAGAACTCCAACTATTCTAAGCTGAATTTCACTCGAAATACTCAATCTTTACCAAGGGTTTGTAAGACTTGTCCCCTTTTCCCCCTGTGCAGCTTGGGTCCAAGTGCAGGGGCAGGCTCGGTCAAAGAGCCCATTGCCAATCAGATGAATGAGGAGAGAAGGAGGATCACACTGCCCAGCAGAGCTGATGTGACTGAGTTGGATCCCAGGTGGTTACTGGCTGGCCATGGTTGCATCTGCACCTACGTGCCTGTGGCACAGCATGTACCATGTTCCACTTCACCTGGGCATCGCCTGCAGCCTGCCACAGCATGGGACATCTCTCGCCACAGGCTGCCACATCTGTCCCCTGCATGCAAGGCGCTGTGCTGGGTTTGACCCCTGTTGCAGCCATATATACTGAGTTTAGGGGGGACACTCCACTCACTGGCCACACAAGCCAGTTCTCTCTGAGCCTCATTTTTTTGTAGCTGCAGAATGTGTCAGTACTTTTAGAGAGCTGTGCTCTGCACTGCCATAATGAAATACTCTGAGACCTTCTCTGACCCTGGCAGAGCAAATCGTGGAAAAAGTCACGCATAGTACCTGTGCTTGGAATTGTGTTTTGGCATGTTTATCTAATTTAGCACGTAACAAGGGTTATATCTGTTCTGCAATTTCTGCTGAAACTTTTTTGCACCTTCCATGAGCTGACTGTGCAATGAGAGAGAGGTGGTCACACAGCTAAAAGAGAATAAATACACTGAATAGAGGAGAAAGTCTCCTCCAAATACAAGCCAAAGAGAAACAAACAGGATGTAATAGCAATCCAGTATGGGTTAATTCGGTGTCTCTCAGTACTCCAAGGTGGTAGATCAGGAAAGTGTAAACCGAGAAGTGCCCACTCAGATAAAGACCTCTAGGATAAAAATAGCCCTGTCAATACAAACTGCATAGGAACCAAGAGATTTAATGGACCAATTGGATTATACTTTGGGGCTCTTTCAGTGAAAAGTTAAACTTCTGTTTGCATTCAGTTTTTGGGAAGTGAATAAACAGTGCCTGAAAGTAAAGGAGGAAAAAAAAAATAAATTACTGAGCTCTAATTGATACAATTTAATTTTGTAATTAAAAAGAAAGAAAAAAAAATGAGTACCATCCAGACACACCTGTGTGCCAAGTTTCAACTTGATGCAACTTGATACAGATGAGATATTAAACCCCAAAGACCAAGTTAACAATGGAAACAGTGACAGACTGCTAACAGTAGTAAGGTGTAATGGTTGTTATAATAGTAAGTTATATGTTTTTCACAGCATAGTGGGACAGCTGCTAAACCCTGAACCTGCCTGCTGGCTGCCGTTAATTTGCCTGTAGTTTGTTTAGCCAGCACCACTCTAGGAGTAACCCTGTGTTTACTCATTAATCCTGCAAGTCACTTCATGGGGAATTAGAGCAGTAAAGCAGCCAGAATATTTTTAATATCAAGAGCATTTTGCCTTGTTTCTTCATTGTCTTTGTAATTTAAATATCCTGTTGTGCAAGCCTAAAGGCAGGAAGTGAGCTATACAAACCCTTACAATAACAGTATTAGGTTGCAGATAAGCCCATGTGCTCAGTGGTGTCGGCTATTTTTTTTCCTGGGGTAATGTAAGTTTTGCAAATGCTAGAAGAGATTATGTTTTCTCTTAGGAACACATTTAAGATCTTTCAAAATAAGATTTGTCTGTTACACACACACACACACACACACAAAAAATGACCCTCCCAATAATAAGAAATGACTCTGACCCGTAATGACAGGCTTTAATTATTTAGCTTCATGCTGTATTTGTGTTTCTGCCGTGAAATCCAAACCTTTTCAGTGGGCAGAGATGTGGTGGTGGGGTAGGTGCCTACCTATCCTCTCTTTCATTTGTTTCCCTCCAGCCCAGCAGTGTTCTAATGCAAATCAAACCCTTGGTGCGTACATAGCTAGCACAGTTATGCTTACACTCCACGCACCTGGCAGTCGGCTTTCCTGCTGAGGCTGCTGCCGAACTCGATCATTTCCTCTCATGGTGATTACACTTGGCTCTCTGCAATAAAAGACAAGAAGAACTTCTGTACAGATGATAAACAGAAACCCTTTATTTTTTCTTTTTATAGATACACCTGGATTTATGGACCCAAAGAATAAAGCTCTGTTAATGCTAATATTTAGAATTTCACAAACGAATCAAGTCATTTTTGCAAGCCAGATACACAGCTAGCGTTCAAATTATAAACAATCCATATAACCTACCAGCGCTGCATTTAACAAAAGTAGGACATGATTTCTGAATCTATTCTCCTTTAATGAGATTATAATCCTGACTGTCCTGTTCTTACTGCAGTCAGAGATAGTACTGTTGTTGCTGAGTGGCTCATGAACAGCAGGCCTGTCTGCTTGCATAACTGATCCTGAATTACACACGGTGACTATCTATGGGTGATATTCTTGAACATGATAAATTGTTTAAATTGTTTGATCGTTGTGTGTGCACAAGCACATTTGCCCCCACGTGGCACGTACATGTTTATTTCACATGCACAGCATTAGGTGTAATGAGATCATTACATTTGTGTATATGCACAGCGTGAAAAGGAAAATTGCCTGACGCTCTACCTTTATAAGCCTGTCTTCCTAGACAGCTAGATTTCATTAAAGTTTAGACATTTCTGCTGTCGTTTGCATGCAGTGCCTGATTCAGGTTCAAATTCTAATGAAAATTTCAGCCAAAACTGCTTTCTGAGAGTGAGGTTAACATAAACCAGGTGGGTTTGCCCATCATTAAACATTTTGGACATTCTCTGAGAATTGTTCTAGCACCTCCACAATTTGAAGCCAGACTCTGAAAAATCTGAAGAGGCTCCCTGTTGCCTTTTGCTATTCTCGTTATACATTTGGCTGTGTTATAAGCCTGTGAAAATTCACAGTTTGCACATGCTCCATCACTACCTCTTCAGTTGGAGTTGCTAAATTCTAAGAAGATTCTGCTGTAACTGAGGATGCTCAGGTTTCTCACAGCTGGTAGCGCTGACTGAACCACATATGCCATGTCCTCAGTTATAGACTAGTGTCCTCACTATTCCATGCTCGAATATATTATTCTAGGATAGATTACAGGGCCAAAGCCAAAATTTCACTGTACTAAGAACTCAAAGCAGTAAGGTTGGGATGAGTTCCAAAAGCAACTGCTAAGAGGGACGTATATTAATTTATGTTCATGCAGCTTTCAAATAGTGCAGAACTGGTCACCACAGAAAATCTCATGAGGAATTTAATTATTCCTTTTTTTGAGAAAAATGCTTGAATAGCATACTGTAAGTAAGGCATGGGATAATAAACTGCTTTGAAGGTAGCAAAATATGGAATTGCTCCTAATTCCTGAAATTTAAATGATGATTTACAATGAAATTAGCAGGTAGGTGTGCAATTAAAGATGATACCATAAAGCACACATATAAAGGGGTGAGTGGACAGACATCCTTAGTATTGACACTTTCGATACTATTTTGTCTACACAGCCTAAGAAAATAGTAAAGAACCTGCTTCCTTTAATATGTATTATGCATATGCACATGC